GGGTTTAGGGACCCTACAAGGACATAGGCATAAGCATATTATAGGGATATCCCTACCTTATTGGGCTTCATTATAAGGGGATTTATATGGGATATCCCTATCCTATGTTTTGCTTATGTGCTTTTTGGGGTGCCCTATTCATGTGAGCTCGAAGTCCTTGCATGCAGGGAACGACGTCGCCGGCCTTGGTGCTAACAGGGTTTGGGGTTAGGGTTGCGGGTTGTGGGTTTGGGGTTTCTGGGTTGTTGGTTTGGGGTGTGGGGTTTCTGTGTTTCTGGGTTGGGGCTTAGGGCGTATGGGTACACTAAAACCCCTAAACCCTAAATCCTAAAACCCCTAAACCCTGAAACCTAAAACCCCTAAATCCTAAACCCTAACCCCTAAACCCTAAACCCTAAACCCAAACCCCTAAACCCTAAACCCTCTTTCCCAACCGCTTTGAAGCCTCGGGCCCTCAGCCCCAACCCCCAAGCCAAAGAGGACATACATCCGAGCCTGAAAACCCTCCGAAACCGTAGTTGTGGCCCAAAAAAGGTTTGGGGTTCAGGGTTTAGGGTTTAGGGTTTAGGGTTTAGGGTTTAGGGTTTAGGTTTAGGGCTTACGGTTAAGTTTTTAAAAAAGCAGTCCCCAAGCCTTCAACCATAATCATGAGGAGCTCTAAAAGAGGTGGGCTTTTCGGTTACAGGTAAGCCCTAGAATCTAAGGTTAAAAGTATGGGCCCCTAAGATGGACCCTTAGGCCTTTCTAGGGACCCTTAATGGTACATATAGGGTGTATAGTCGGTGTATAAGGATCCCAGGGTTAAGGGCCCATACTAGGGGCCCATGGTTTCAACCTTAGATAGAAGGATGGATCCTCTGTCCTCCCCCCATCCAGCCCCCTTCCACTTGCAAAACACAAGGGTTCAGGGCTTAATGTAGGGGCCTTAGGCCTTAATAATTAGAGTAGGGTGTTGGGGGTTCCTTCTCATAAGTATAGTATAAGATACCCCCCCAAACGCTATTCTAGTTACAAAGGTCCCCATATCAGGGCTATTTGGGTTTGGGGTTTAGGGCTTCCCTAAGCCCTAAACCTTAAGGCCAAAGTCGATGCTGAAGACCCCTGCCGGCCGACCCAAGAAGGGCAAGCCGAAGGAGGTGGTGGGGTTGCTGCAGGTTCAGGGTTCATTCGGGTTTAGGGTTTTTAGGGTTTAGGGTTTAGGGTTAGGGGTTTAGGGTTTAGGGTTTAGGGTTCAGGGTTCATTCGGGTTTAGGGTTTAGGTTTTACGGGGTTCTGTGGCCTAAACCCTAAGCCCTAGACCCTGGTTCTTTACTGCTTGGGGTCGAGGGTTCATGAGGCTTTGGAAGAAAGCCCTAAACCCTAAACCCTAAACCCTAAACCCTAAACCCTAAACCCTAAACCCTAAACAAGCTTTAGGGCCCCGAAGTCTTGACGCCCTGCATGACTTTAGTTTAGAGAGGCACAGGGCACAAAGCGCTCCCCGTAGGGTTTAGGGTTTAGGGTTTAGGGTTTAGGGTTTAGGGTTTAGGGTTTAGGGTTTAGGGGACACCAGGGAACTTCAGGGTTTAGGGGCCAAGGAGGTTGGTCGGGGTGATACAATCGAATCTTGAACGAGGTGATGGGCTTGGGGTTTAGAGGTTTAGGGTTTACAGTAGCACTCCTCGTAAGAGTCCATGGGGAATGTGCGGCCAACCAGAAAATCTAAGGTGAGATGCACGATTCGACGGGTTTTCCTGATAAATCACGCACAGAGCACTGAGGGTGCTCAGGGGTTTGGAACCCTAAACCTAAACCCCTAAACCCAAAACCCCTAAACCCTCAAACCCTAAATCCCTACACCCCTAACCCCTGAACCCCATGTGGGTAGTTCTCTAAATTAGCATCCCTTTTGGGGTTCTTTTTATAAGGGCGCCGCACTATATTGGGGACCCAGACAAGGATCCTAATTTAGAGAATAACCCATGTTTAGAGCTTTGGAATTAATGTTCAGGGTTCTTAGGGGCTAAACCCTAAACCCTCAACCCTAAACCCTGAACCCTAAACCCTAAACGTTTAGGGCTTGAGGGATTGGCTTTGAAGGGAGGAGAGTGTTTGGGGCTGATTATTCTGGTGTCCTAAAGGGGGGAGGGTGCTGGGGAGCTTTAGGGAACCTAAGGGAGTAGTAGGGAGAATTGGGGATTACTGTGTTATACACCCCCCTTAGAACCCCCTCCCTTAAGGATTCCATAAGATTAACGTTCGGTCGTTCGGTTATAGGCTTTAGGGCTTTAGGGTCAAGGGTTTAGGGGTTTGGGGTTTTAGGGTTTCAGGTTCCAGGGTTTTGGAGGATTCAAAAGTCTCCACTGCTGAATTCAGATAGAGCCCCACAGTCGTTGCTGGTTATGGTTATGGGAAGTGTAAATGAAGTGTAGCAATTAATGCAGACCGCAGGTTAGTAAACCCCCTCCAACATTTGGGTCTGGGGCGTAGGGGGTTGCTTTGGGATTTTGGCTCCAGGGCCAGTGGGGCTTCCCGGCTTGAAGTGTAGGGTTTAGGGAGTAGTTAGGCGTCAGAGTTCCGGGTTTTGCCTGGAGTTGCCTGATCAGGGGACTTTGCAAATAGGTAGACAGTGGTGGAAAGTAGGATGTTTTCAACTAGGATGACGGTAACTGACTCGAATTACGACCCACTCACGAACTCCCATCAATTAGACCCTGCTGCCTACTATCAGTCCTCGATTCGGTTTCCAACAGCCTTGCGACATCCTCATACAGTCTAAACCCTACCCTTTCAAGAGGGTTGAGGGCATGTGCCGTCATATTTGTTTAGTGGTCCGGCAAAACCTGATACTTGGGGCGACACGAATGCTTGGGAATACCCCTAAACCCTAAACCCTAAACCCACTGTTCCCTGGGGTTGCCCCACATGCTTAGAGTAACGAGCCGGCCCAGGGCTTTCAACGATTGTAGAGCCCTTACAGAACCAAAGCAAACCCTAAACCCTAGACCCTGAGAAGCCTTTCCTTAAGAACCCGAAACCTACTTTTTTGTAGGGTCCCTATAAATCCCCATATTAGGGTTTATAATAAGAACCTACAAAAAAGTGGGTTTGGGGTTCTTAAGGTTCATCAGCCTTTGTGGAACCCTGACGGGAACCCTAGTAGACCCCTTGAGGGGGAACCCGAGAAAAACCTTGAGAAAGAACCCTGTACAGAACCCCAGTTGACCCCCGAAGGGAACTTTGGGGTTTAGGGTTCAGGATTTAGGGTTTAGGGTTCAGGGTTCCGGGTTTAGGGTTCAGGGTTCAGGATTTAGGGTTTCGGGTTCAGGGTTCAGTGTCCAGGGTTTAGGGTTCATGGTTCAGGGTTTAGGGCTTAGGATTTAGGGTTCAGGGTTTAGGGTTTAGGGTTGAGGGAAATTTGAACGGACCTTGTCGCCCGGTCCAGGTCAGCGGCACAACAGCGCAGAGACGCTCGCCGGGAGGAAGGGTTCTATACTTTGGGGGCCTTTGGGCTCTTTCAAGGGTCCTATATTAAGAATTCAACGGTTTTTTTTTAAAGGGCTCCCTTAAAAGGGATCTATAAGAGGGTTTTAGGCCTGCTTAAACGATCATACGCACCGATCTCGACAGGCATACCCCATGTAGCTTCCCGTCGAAGCCAGCCCAAATCATCCTTGGAAGGCGTGTGCTGTTATTCGTTTTGAAATTTTGGAACCTAAGTTTGGGGTTTAGGGATGGTATAGGGCCAGTATAGGGTTTTGGAACATGGGGGCAAAGGGGTTGAGGACGTAATCTTAGGGTTTGGGGCATTGGGCTTTGAGAGATTTAAGATCTCGGGCTCGCGGTTTTGGGGTTTGGCGTTCAGGGCTT